CTAGGGACACCACTAACGCCCGGCCCCCCCGCACGATTCATAACCATGTAAGGTAGGTACTGCATCGCTCTAATAACCACCCCCGCCTTTTATCTGCCATGTTAGCCAGGAGGGCAGAAAGAGGCAAAAGGGGAGAGAGAGGCTAGAGGCAGATAAGCAGGCCAGGAAGACTACTGGTGAGGCACAGCTGTAGCGCGCCCGACCAAGCAAGCCGTCGACATAGCGCCGGGCGTGGACAATTGGGACATGCGACTACCTACCTCCGCATGCGTCACTTGTATCATATCATATCTCGAAAACGCAAGAGGGACAGTTGAGCAGCCAGCGCATACACAACCTTCTTGAGACAGCTGAGGTGGGGTTCTTTGTGCGCTGCATGCGTGTGATTGCAGCGCATGTGTATGTATTCGATATGAGACAGGTTTCTCCTAATGCTAAAGATGCAAATGCCAACCCAGTGATGCCAAAGCAAGATACACAAATGATGGGAATTGAACAAGTCTCATGATTGGCCACATGCAAAACAAGTCTCGGGTCCTGTTCTTCTCCCCAACATGCTGGTTTCGCTCATGAATTGTACCCATCAGTCTCTGCCATCCCACCCCAAACGCTTCTTGCAACAAACCCTTCCTCTCCAATGAATTGTCCGTCCGTCAGAATGAAAATGTCCGCTTAAAATGCCATGTTAAATCTAAGTTATGTATATATATATATATTATGCCTTGATGCATCTGCTGAAATATGAGATGTGGTATAAGTCCCCCCAAAACAAAATGTAATAAAAACAATGTCACACAAGAAATAAATATCAAACAAGAATCTCAAAAGAATAATGCAGCCTCGTGAATCGTGATGGGAGATATGTGCCCTGCCCTTTAGACCACCATGAAAAATATGCGGGTGGTAGTCGAGGAGGGATGTATAAAAACAACAAGTTTAAAAAAGCAAAATGCCGTCCCAAGCTCCAGAATAATGTGATGATGATGATGATGCACTCGAAACGGTGTAATAACAAATGACAGAAAAATCAATAAACTTTTTTACGGACGCCTCTTCGTCCTCATGATAACATGCGCTAAGGCGCGGATGATGCAAATATTGGGAGGACTCTCAGCCCGAAAGGTCTCGTCCCGGTGACATGCTAGTTGTTGCTGTAGGCTCGCTGTCTTATCGGATGGCGTTGGGTTGCCTGGCATGCAAAGGTCCTGCGGCCCCGCACTCGCAGGTCACACATGGTACACGGGGTAGCGTGCGGATGGGGGGTTGCTGAAGGATCGCTGAGCTGAAGCCCATGACCCAGCCAGCTCCTCATGCACAGGACCATCTCCAGCCCGAAGAGCTAGGCACCCACACTAGCGTCGGCAGACACCTGTGTAATACGGTGATCCCTAATCCGGAGCGGAGGCAGGTTCGGCGCTTGGGGTGAGATGGCACCATTAGCCACCATCCGTATGCACCGACTACCGCCCACCGACCATGGGAGTAACGAGCTCGATACTCTTTGGGCGGGCTTGGCTTGGTCGGCGGGTGGGCAGTGGACGATCCATGCCATTTGATCCGTAATCGTATGTGTAGTAGCCGCCATTGTTGTAGCCAACGTCGTACGTGGACGAAAGGTAGGGCGCAGAGGGCCGAGAATAGGAGGTGCTAGGACTGGTTGCAGCACTTCGGTTGTTGTTGAATGGCCAGAAGTTGCTGCCACCTGCCGATGGCGAGGGAGGGCTTGGTGGTCGTGCATGTAGTGATCGGAGCGCCGAGAGTGCCGAAGTGTGGTACGACGTTGTAGCCGGCGTGGTAGGGGTCGGTGGTGAATGATTGTAGATCGTGGAGCTGGGACGAGAAGGCGAAGCTTGAGGAATAATATCCCGAGGCTCAGGCTCTCCTGCTGAGTAGAAAGGGTAGTTTCCATAGCCATAGCTTCGAGGCATCGAGGACGTTGCTGACGACGATTGATCGACCCTTCGGCAGCTATTTCTTCTTGTTAGCACACGAGATGCATTCTAGCACACAAGGCCCTGTACAGGACGTTGCGAATAGGAAGAGAGTAGGGAGTGGCTTACTTCTCGGAGCAGTAGAGGTGCTTGTCATCGTAAGGAACGAATTGCTTCTCACAAGTCATGCTAATTGAGTTCTGTTAGCACAAACTTGTTACCAAAACCCTCTTGGTAGAGAGGGAGAGACAGAGCATTCTGAAAACGCCTGGCATCGGAAGGAACCTCAACACTTACCAGAATTGTGGGAAGCTCTCACGTTCGTCGTCAAAGGCTTCGTGCCATTCTCGTTCTCGCTCCCGCTGGCTCTTGCCAAGCTTCTGGCCGGTGACGGGTGTTTGCCTGCGTGACAGGCCGGGTCGTCGATGCTTCGTCATGTCTGTTACGGTTACGGATTTTCGCATGTCTGAAATGGGCGCACCGCCAGACTTTCGGCGTTGGTGAGGCATCTCGGGTTTATTTATCAATGGTCGAGCTGCCGCAGGACCATAAGGCGAGAGAGGCCGAAGTCGGAGAAGGTTGGTCCTACTATAGAGTAATGGACAGGGATTGATGTGTAACCAAAACCACTTTTTTCCTCCTTCGAAGAAGCGTTGTCAATGAGCAATGGCAAGGTCCAATGGGGGTGAGGGTTGAGTGTTGGTCTTGTCGAGATAAGATGTGAGGGAAAGCGAGAGGGTGTGCTGATGTGAGGGTACTTGAGGGGGTATTGAATTAGGCGAGAGACGAGACACCGGTTGACGATAGCAACCAGTGGTAAGGAGCCCAGGTGGGAAGGCCGCCGGGCGGGAGAGTCACTATGTATGTATGGGGGACCAGGAGCACGCAGGTGGATTCCCTGCAGAGCACCGCGCGAGTGGTCACGAAATTGCGCCCGAACCCTCCGGGTGCGAGCAAGGTGTTGTGGAGGGTGAGATAGAAGGGGCTATCAGCTGTTGGTGGTGGGATGATCGACAGGGCTTCAAGAACAGCAGCTAGAGAACCGCCAGCTAGATAAAGAAAGCCGAGATTGGCGGCGGGCTATCAGGATAGTTCAATTGCAGTAATGCCGAGTTCCCAAGAACTGCCCTGCTCCGTCCAGAAGAAGGGGGGAGATGTGGGATGTCGTCAGTGGTGCTGAAGCGAGGGTAATGGACATGTATGGATGGGGCTGCGCGTGTCTATGTATGCATGCAGAGAAGTGTCCGGTGATTGATGCACACAATGCAGCTGATGATAAACGAAGCCACGAAGATTGCGACTTAGAGATTGATACCGGGCATGTACCTCGTAAAAGTGCGGGTGGTACCTGCTAGGAAAGGTAGGAGGGACAAGGCGTCGTCGCCGTCCAGATAAGAACTGCCAGGTACGCGGTACCTGCCAAGGTCTGAGGTTGAGGTACCTCAGAGAGGTACGTGCAGGATGGCGGGAGTCGGGGTACGGCTAGCAAGTACCCAGTTAAGTAGCAGTGACCTGTGTGGGAGAAGGAAGGCGGAACGGCTGGGCCAATGCTGGACGAAAGCGTAGCAAAGAATGTTTGCCGATCTTGACAACCAAGGGGAAAGAAAAAAAAAGAGGGAAGAATGGTCTCGATAAAGTAAATTCCACTGGGAAAAAAAAGTTTTATCGTGGCGGCCTGGAGTGGCCTGTCTGGTTTTTGCACGATTGCGTGTGACTCTTCCCGTTGTCGTGATTGACTGAGAGGAACCCGAAAGCGGAGAACTGTCTCGAGGATGACTCTAAGCCAATCAAAGGCCAATGTGCTGGGCGTGTGATGCTAAGGCCTCTCAGGAGGACAGTGGTTTGTGCAGGCAGGTACAAAGAATGGGGGGGAGTGCCCGGCATAAATCACCATAAATTGCACTGAACAAATAGGTTCCTTGCACGGATCAGAGCAAGGGTGTGTGTAAGGCGGCAAGGGCGTTGGTACCAAGAACTTGCTTCTTCAGACTTGTTGGATGACGGTATGGTGACCCGAGGCTGCGGCTTAGAGGCTGCACTTAAAGTTGGGTTCGTTCGGTGTGAGAAAAATGGAAGAAAAGAAGCACGCACACAAGCAGCCTTATCATGCAGTAATACGTTGCGCAACAGCCCTATCACCAGCTCACGCTCAGGGAATTCAATGAGGACGGTGAGACGAGGGAGCGAGAAAACAAGAAACGGAGGCCTGCTATGTAGGTACAGCACGGTGAAGTCGGTCTGGGGAAGCCTGGCCGGTAGTGAAATGACATACATAACGCCATCTTCCCTTGATGGATAATATCCATAAAATGGTACAATCACGACATCCACGAACCATATTGTCCCGCTGTCAGGTACAGGCACACGTAAAAATTGCTTTTTAGCCCAAGCCCATGCTGCTCTAGTAGGTGGTACATGACCCTGCCTGTCCGTGCGTGTGGGCGGGGGCGCTCAATGAGGTGCTCGCGGCTGGCGGCCGTCATGTACATCGTACATGGGCGTAATGTAGGAGTGGCTCGGCGAGATGCATGTACATGCACACCTGCACTTACACTTCCACACTCATGCACGCTCGGGCTAGCTTAGTGCAACCAGTTGGACAGGTTATGCGTGTGGGGGGACTAGCTCGAGCTACCGGGATTTGGGCGTCTGCATGCACAGAACCTCAAGTAGATGCCGATAGCTGCAGTACTTGACGTGTCCGCGCCCCTGGCCAATCAAGGCAACCTGCCGCAGCACCATCTGGGCGGACTCTGGGCCAGGAGCGGATGCAAATTTTAACTGGCTGTAGCTTGGGGGGCCTTACGCTGTCGTCTGACTTCATCTCATCCACCCTGCTGAGCACGTTTTCACCTAACACCAGCTTGCCAACGAACCGTCGCCTGGCGGCCAGGGGCGCCGTTCCCATGGCCTGGTCATGATTACATCTTATTGCGCCAGTCTGGTGCCAAACCCGCCTAGTTGCGGCTCCAATTCGTCGACTCGCAATTGTGGCTTGCATGCGGCCGCCATCCATCATCTTACCCCAACCAGATGTTGTTGCACCAGCCCTGGGCGGGACGTGCAACAATGCATCGTCCCCAGATGCCCGTCGCCAGCAAACTGCAGGCATGTACCCTCCTGGCCACAATTTGGCCGGAAAAGGGTGTCCTGGCAGGCCTGCCCTGGTATCTGCTACGCGCTATCTCCTGGCTACAGTCGGTATGTAGCACTACCAGAGCAAGGTTTAGGAGAATTTTCAAATCCTGGCAACCCACCGTTGATTGTTTTATAGTTCTCCTCGTTGTGATATTGCTCAGCGGAGGGTTTTTGCCTTTGGCTGGTTTTTTCAAGGTTTTTTCCGGGTCCCCGTACAGGTACACATCGTCACCGCCGTGAGCATTGCGCAAGCCTGCGTTGAGGTGACGAAGTACATGCTATTACGCATCATCGCCGCAGGCAGCACTATTCTCAAGCGCCTGTGGCTTATTTAGTCCTGCACACAGAATCCTGCCTATGTACATGGCATAGGCGTTTGCTCTGCGCTACCTCGGCTGGGATTAATTGCCTATCTATTGTATACTATCCCGAGTGACAGGCAATTCTGGACCAGCACGGGTAACATCCTCCAGTCTCCAGGCACACCCAGCAGATCTTTTCAGCGCCAGAAGTGCGTGGGGGCGGGTATCGGCCAATTAACCCCAGGGATCAGGGCACAGAACCACCTAGACCTCGCGCTACCACCCGGGGTACAGTGAAGAGACTCGGCACAACTGCTGGTCTAGCACTTGGCTAGGCTGGAATTGCACAATCAGAACCGCCAAAGTGAAAGAATACCACCCTGCACGTCTCCTGCTGTCGCGTTTTGGCTCTGTTCCTTGCGGTTGGACCCCTGCCTGCCCAGCGGACTTCTTATCCGACTCCCCACCAACGGAACATCGTTGCATTCGCTCGCCTGCAGAGCCCTTTAGTCTCGCCTTGGGGGTGCCTCAGCTCAGGCCTTGCCGCTGGGCAGAGCAGCTCGGATTACTATTCCTGGAGCACGCGGCTTATCACGACAGTCTGCCTCTCAAGCACCAGATATCGCTTCTTTCTTGTGTGATTGCGCATCTTTCTACATACATACAGACTCGCATTATCAGGATTGCCATCCAGCAGCGCAGATCAGCCACCCCCGGTTTCATGGACCGTCCGGGACAGATTCTACGCCTCCGGCCAACCCGTGTTAGTGCCTGGCCCCAGCTTCCTCAGTCCCTGGTCGAGCAGAGAGCCAACACGATGCGGCGGTCAACAGGCCAATATTGATGTCGCCTAGAACCTCGCTCCAGGCTTGGCGAACATCAGACCATGGCTTTCGCTTCGATAAGGTCCTTCGAGTCCCTTTCTGGGCAAGTACTTCCATAACCAGCCCGGTGGATGGGTATCGGTTGGTGGCCTCTGTGTGGGGCGGGCGGTGGAGGCTGAATTTTCATAAATACTAAAAAAAAAAAGTCCTATCGTGAGGACCACACAGCGAGGGGGATCATGCCATGCCGCATGCGGGAGGGGCAGTTTTACCTCCCCGAGGCCTCGCCAGTTGCCTCGGACCCCTTGACGAGGGCATCGTGCCCCCATTGATCCTATCTCTCGACGACGCCGGCTCCTGCAAGGGCTTGACTCCGAGTCATGGGGTCAGTGTTTGGACGTATCGCTGCCGCCGTTGAGGCCGTCTCCCATGCAAGGCCCCATCAGCGTGCCCTTCCCGGAAGCAGTTGTCTCCGTCAAGCAGTGTTTCGTCCATTGCTCAATTCCTCTTGTCCCATCTTATCGCCACCCACAGCAGGGGTCTGCAACACCAAAAATTTTGCAGCCAACCTTGCCAGTCCAGCTCAATTTCGGTGAGATGGTGACCGCTCGCCATTGGTGTGGGCTTGCGGCTAATCAATCGAATTTCCACTATCCAGTCCAGCCGACCTGGAGAAGCACTAGCTCTGGTAGCGGCCTGCCTCATGTGGATTTCTCATGTCGTTGGTCAATGACTCGAGCCACGATATCGCACATCAGTCATACATATTACCGATGTACACGAGACATGCGGGCGGCGTCATGGGAAAACAACCCGCTCGTGACAACACGAAGTATCCGGCGTTGAAACACTGGCATCTCCAGACCCAGCGCAGGATGGAGCCCAATACAACACGCCGCCATCAGGGCTCAGCATTCCCTTGAGCAAAACCCCGGACCTGAGGTCGCCTTCAAGGCCGTACAGCGCCTAGGGAAATGGTGGGCCAAATGCGAGGCACTTAATCTTGAGAGGAGGGAAGATCCGCCCAACCGCAAGTGCCGGGTCTTCCCTCACACGGCATGGTGGATACCCTCCCACCGTCCAAGAGCTCAAGTGATTCCAATGGCTTTGTGGGTTGAGCTAAAGAAAGAAAGGACCTTTCTGGAGAAGCCTCCTGTCCAGTTGGCCATGCACATTCCTGGCTGCTTGGCCAATGGCGCATCCGTTTCTGTTCTGTGGCTTCTGGGCAACATGCCGGGCTTACACAGGCATACAGACGTCCTACGTTCCCAACCAGGCGCTATGATGCTATTGTGGACTTTGGGACCCGACTGTCCAGTTTCACCTCTTCAGCCTTGACAAATCGTAAGACGGGACTCTTTGAATGCCCACTGCCTCTGGGGCCCTCGGGTAGAGTAGGGGTGCCAGCTGAGTTGTCGTCTGACGTGGATGAATCTCTGAATCTCTTGTCTCTTTGCTCTCGAGATCACAGATCCACACGGCGTATCATGAAACGGGCACGTTGCGACCTCACCACCCATCTTTTCCCCGCCGACAACGAATGCCATCGAGCATCCCGTGCAGCATCTCGCCGCGCTGCGGGCTCCATCATATTCCCCGACCCACGGGTGATGAGGGCCCAGCGCATTCCCTCTCTCGTATGTAGCCCGCTCGCCCGGGATCCACCTGCCGTGGTTAGAGGGGTTGCCTCACTCGCTCACTCTCCAGACCATGAACGAAGGCCATTGGGCGAGTGATGTGAAAACTCCAGGTTCAGAGAGCCCAATTGCATAATCTTGCTTGAGATGCCATGGACCAGCCCTCTGCACCACCCCTGCGACGATGGGCAAGGCTACCGTCGGGTCTAAGAAAAACGGTCTTGGACCGAAAGTGGTAATTTAAACAGGGAGTTTGACTGTGGAACCTCTAACTCCAGAAACTGTGACATGCTATTTTGATTACTGTGGACTTGCAGAGATAACGGTGTGCAAGAAAATTTCAAACTTCACTAATTGTATTATGTACGCTATGAGAGTCACACCGTAACTAACTATGGGACGGGACGGCATCGTCGCATGTACGGACGGAGATGATTGCCGCGGAACAGGCCAATGGACGCCGGTTCGCCACTCAAAATATCCTCCCGCCCCTCTTAGGCGGTGCCAGGCCGATACAAATGCAGGCCGGCCACTTATTGGTAGGTGGACAATTAACCAAAAGCCACAACCGCAGCATCTTGAAGATGTCGGTCTGAGGGTTGAAAATTTTTTCATTTGTCGGGCGGTCAACGGGCCCCCCTCCCCGTGGAGGAGAAGAGACATGGAATTAGGCTCAAGCTCAAGGTTGGCGGCGTCTTAGTTGCGGAACTTGTGCGGTGGTTCCTGGGTCTACTGCTCCGTGTGGAGTTTCGCTCGGCGGCGGTGGCTTTCCATGGCTCTGAGCGAGTCATTCAGCGGAGGCTCCATCAGACTCCTGACCTCGTCTATGGTGAATATCGTCGTGGGCTGCTTCGGGAAATTCGTTTGCTGGTCCGCGGGGGGCGGCGCTATTCCCTTGACGATCCACTCAGAGTCCATTCTCTGACACTCGGCCAAATCTGGGTCTGGGTTTGCACTCCCTTGCTGTTGTGCAAAGGACTCCGGACCGGAGACTGAGAGGGCCATGGGCAGTGCGCGGGAGAAGACGTTTTGGACTTGTGCTTCTCCCGTCGCAATCTTGCTAACCTGTGCCAAGCTGTGTCCTTGAAAGAGATTCGAAGTGTATGTTCTCCATTCCCTCCAAATAGTCCGTAGAGCACCCACGCGTCCTAGAAGAAGTATGTATTCCTCGTATGCCGCCCGCCTCTCTTGGCTCTGCAACTCAGAGGTTGGATAACCAGAATCGAACAGTAAATCTCGGAGGGAGGTGCCATCCGGCGAGTTCTCACCCAAGCCCGTTAAGATGGTGAACAAAAGCTGGCGCTGAGGTCTATGATCCAGCAACTTAGTCTCGTCGGCCACCCTATTCCAAGATTCTAAGCTGGCTCCAATATCTGGGAGGATGTTTAGCTTGCTGTTTAGCATACCAGTTGTGATTCCACCTTGAAGTTGTCCGACAGCCAAGTCAAGTTTGCCCAGCCGAGCCAAACATCTTAGCCGGAGTACAAATATACACGCCTTTAAGTCCTCGCTCATACGCGGCAGCCTATGGCTGAGATTGTTGACAAACTCCAAGGTATCAAAGCACGCCTCAGGTCCTGGCGATGCGTCCATCACTCGGACACAAGCATCTCGGATCTCTTGTGCAACACTGACTTGTTCCCCCTCCTGGGCCAAGGAGTCTAAGTTTAGGTCCGCATTAGCGGCCAGGCTATGGAACACAACTCTTCTGATCCCGTTGATGCTATTCTGTTCCCGCAGGTCACTCGTAATTTGCTGGGCGGATGGTTGTTGTTTCTTGGATTTGATCTGGTCGAACCGGAGTGAATCTCGTCGGCTCAGCACCCATCTCAGCAGGAGCTCGTTGTTTTGAGCAGCATGCTGTGGAATTCCGTTGTGTGCTCGCACTTGTTCGAGAAAGTCGGGTTCCCGGCGAGGATCGATTTGGTCAGAGACGGGCATTCCTTGTTGCCGACTGGCTGGTTGTTGATGAGAATTCTGATACTTCTCCATCTGAGCCCCTTGGTCCGGCGTGGCGTAGGTGAGAGTGGAAATACGAAGAGGGTTAGACTCTCCGTCCAATGCACCATCCTCCATCGAGCCCTCTGAGGGTGCGAGACCTCGAAGAGCTGCAGAGATCACGTCGTGAGAGGTGATGCGCCATGGGTTCGTCGAGCTGGATAACACCTTGCTCCGGGTCTCTCGGGACTCCCCAATCATCTGCTTCAGGTCTTCAAGGCGCGACTGAACATGTCTCTGCTGTTCCGTATGAGCCCAGATACTGGCCATGGTATGTTCATCCTCGTTGTCACTTTCGCGGACGTCCTTTGCGCCATACGCGTCAAGATCAAGGACGATGTCGGGCATCTGGAACAGCTCATCGGCCCTCAGTTGCCGCGGAGGATCCTTTCTCTGCTCCCGGGGCGTCACTATGTGGAAGGCGTAGTGACCGTTCGGGTCGAACATTGCCGTAAATGGCTTGCCAACTTTGAATGTGCCTTGAAGCTCCCGATCTTCAATCTCCTTTTTGAGATCATAATCTTTGATATTGGGGTATGAGCCTCCAGAATAGCTCCTCTCGAGGCACCATGCTGGTCTCTTCGCACTCGTAGGGTCGAACTGGGACCGTCTTGACATAAGGGAGCGCCTCATTCTGGATCTTTCGATTCACCAATTCAAGTTATCTTACAATACGACCTCTTGGTCTTTCGCTGATTTGGTGACACGAGCACATTCGTCTGCCCAGATGCGATGAAGCAGTTCTGGGAGACGCGTGGTGGATGAGCGCAAAAGCCAGAGTTGCAATGAAAAATTTCCAATTGCTCACATCCCGATGTCACATTTTACCGGCATGAACCAAAAACCTGGGGTTTTCATTGAGGGGAGCCCTGACGGGAGTTACCTACAGCGGAGTTTACTGCATTCCTCCTCACTGACATCGCTGTAAAAGCCCCTAGAATAGAAGGACAATCAGTGGACCCAGCAGCGTCCCGCCGCCCGGTTTCCCCGACTCTCGGGGAGTTTTAGCGGTTGCCTTAGCACCCTTTGAATTTCTGGGGAAGTGGGAATCTATCACGGTCCCTGTAGGTTTTGGCAGCTGTGGCGGTGCTCCAGAGCCACAGCAGCGTCGGAGACGCGACCACTTTTACCCGTAGCGAGTGTGAAAAATAAAAGCACCCGCTGGCTTAATTCCTTGCACCATAATTCGACTAAGTTTGTCTATGATCATACCAAAATAAGATTAGCTTGACTTTCTGTCCTACAAAGTAGCAGGAGAAGGGTGAGAATACTGCCACTCGACCTGATTCATGGAAGGACCCTCCCAAAAGTCAATAGCAACCAGGTAACAGGCGTGATTCGGGTTCGAAACCAGAATTCCAAGGATCACCAACCAGTCCATCTAGCCACAAAAATGTCACCCCCTCCGGCAAAGAAACGCAGAACCTCACCTGAAGCTTCTGTTTCAGCAGATGCTGAAGAGCCCTTATCAGCGAAGCAGGCCGACCAGCCCGGCGAGGACGGACAGCCCGTAGAGAAGCAGGATGCGACACCACAGGCAGACAGCAAGCCCAAGGCCGGCAGCGACCGCATGGCGCGGTTCAAAGCCCTCCAGGCCCGGGCCAAGTCGGGCTCCGAGACCAACCTGAAGGAGGCGACGCTCGAGTCGCAGCGGCTGGCGACCGACCCGGCCCAGCTCAAGACGCTGCACCGCCAGCGCGACATCGCCGCGCACAAACTCCTCAAGGCGGAGACGGAGGAGGCCGGCGAGGACTTTGAGCGCAAGCGCGCGTGGGACTGGACCGTCGACGAGAGCGAGAAGTGGGACAAGCGCATGAAGAAGAAGGACGCCCACCGGGACAACGTCGCCTTCTCCGACTACCGCCAGGAGAGCAACAGCGTCTACAAGAAGCAGCTGCGCAACGTCAACGTCGACATGGACAAGTACGAGAAGGACAAGAAGGCGCTCATCGAGAAGGCGGCCGCGTCGGGCGGGCTGGACATTGTCGAGACCGAGGACGGGGAGCTGGTCGCCATCGACAAGGACGGGACCTTCTACTCGACCGCCGACTCGACCAACTTCACGCAGAACAAGCCGGACAAGGCGGCCGTGGATCGCCTCGTCGATGATCTGAAGAGAGCCGAGGAGCAGAGACTCAAGAAGAGGAAGGAGAGAATGGCAAAGAACGGCGACGAAGGGGACACGACGTATATCAACGAGAAGAACAAGCAGTTCAACCAGAAGCTGGAGCGGTTTTACAACAAGTACACGGCAGAGATCAGGGAAAGCTTCGAGAGAGGTACGAGGATATGATTATAGAAAGAACAGAGGGGGATTGGAAGAGGAGCAGGGCCTCCTGTGTTGATGACATGAGAGTTTTTTGCTCGGTATTAATGAATGAATATACATCCCGCGCCTGCGCCCAGTCTATATTACATGCTTTTTTCTTGGATAGTGCAGCATACAGTCTAGCGAATAATACACTGGCTTGAAGACCAACACCCTTCACAGCATTGTCTTACGCCATGCCTTGGCTGAGAGGTCCTCAATCTCGGGGACTTCGACAGGGCCCTTGATGTCTTCATCACTCAGGGCTTCAACAACCGCCTCCGCGACAATATCGACCTTGAGAGGCTTCGCCCCGCCGGCGCCGATGAGGTTCTGGAAATACTTGCCAGTGAGCTGGTTGAAGATGGCACCACCGCCCGCAGCAGCGGCCATGGCAAGAGTGAACTTGCGCGAGCTGTCGTACATGAAAGGTGCCCGGATGAACAGACCTCTCATGTCGGGGAAACTCGAGGTCACGATGGCCTCGGCCTCCCTCTTCGTGGAGATGTAGCGCTGCGGGAGGACCGGAGCACCGCCGGCGGCCGAAATGTAGCAGAAGGCGCCAACCTTCTCCTCAGAAGCGTGCTTGGCAAGGGCAACAGCGCTGTCTCTGTTCATGACCTCGTACGAGAACTGGTCATTGGCGTTGGCCGGCTTGATATCCTCCCCATATTTGGCCTGGAGTGGTTTGATGCCACGGTCTCGGGTCGAAGCGAACACTTTCTGCAGGCCAGTTATCGGTGACTCCTTGCCTGATACAAGTCCCTTGTAGTCGGCCTCTATCAGGATTCCCATACTATGGACTACATAGTTGGCCCCTTTGAGAAGCGGAGCATAGGTAGAAGGGCGAAGAATATCGCCTCGCTCCCAGCTCACTTGGTGAGACCATGATGGGGGAGAAGGGGACGATGTAACGTTTTCCCACCGGGGTTCACCGGAACGACTATAGGATCATAATGTAAGTGTGATGAATCTATATAAAGTTGGAAAGATCACATAGAGTTGATTGTATCATTGAAAATATAAAGTGCATCCGGAACTGGGGATAGTTACCTACCTTATTGAGGTTACATCCCATCCGCGGGCTACGGCGTATTTGCAGATCCTTGAGCCCAGGAAGCCATTGCCTCCACAGACAACCAGTTTCTTGGCCGCGGCGGACATGGTTTGCTTATTAGTGCTCAAGGCTGTTCGTGGGAGAAAGGTTGAAAGAGCTTGGCAGCCTCTGGCAGGGTTCTCGGCAGGAAGAATACGACTGCGCCAGAGCTCAATTGGGGTACGATGGGGAGCCAGTTAGGATTGTGAAACTTGAGCAACGATCGCTGCAGCGATGTGCTTCCGGATACTTGTTGGCAAGAAAATGGAACGAGGTGCAGTCAGCTCATGAGGTCCATCAACGAAGTGGTCTGAGAGATCCTGGAGCGGAACGTAAACGATTGATGAGATCATGCATATTCGGAGCTACCCTGGCTGCCACGCAGGGTCCAGTCCAGCAGCCAGCCAGTGAGACAGCAGTTGGGGTGGAGGGTCTGGCTGCCTTGCCCAGCGCCTCACAGCACTGTAAATGCAACTGAAGGCCTGGAGAGCTCAGTGAGTGCTGCTGAGTCATCAGCATCTCCCATCGTCTGCCGTCCAGATGAAGATGAGACGAAAAGACTGGCATATCCTTGCCCCTCAGGAGACTGTGGTTTCAATCAAAGAAAATCAGGCCAAGGGACTCTAGATTATTGGAAATCACTCCATCCCAACCCGTTCCGCGGAGTTGCAGCCGACAACTGGGTCCTGGCCTATCCGAACCATTCAGCTGGCCCAATAGTAATACATAGCAGGTAATAGATATGGGAGGAGGTTATCAGGCTGCTCAGCTCCAATGGAACCCGCGGAGATGTCAGCCATCGGACTTTTTAACCTCTTACAAACATGAGGGGTATGTGAAAGCAGCAATCGGATGCGGGATTGTCAGCGGCTAACGGGGGAAAGGGCCTGCAATAAATCACAGACTGCCAATTACCACTGCCGGCGTCAGTGTGCAGCAGCCAGCGGATAATCCCAACCACTCAAGCCCTCGCCGACGTCGGCAAGATATCTGTAGGTTTGTAATACAGCGATCGGATTTGCGCTCCCCACCCCCACCCTCCAATCATACGCTAACAACCCAAAAACCTACAAGAACTCGCCTAGCATCCCTTCACTATCGCCTTCCACACCCATCTTTCCGAATTTGCTTGTTTTCCAGTCTTCCTTTACTGTTCCCTGTACCCAAGAGCCCAGACATATTCAGCAGATCCAGATACGATGGCTCCCGGTCCTGTCATTATCGACGTCTCCGACGACCTCGGATTTGTCCCCTCGGTCAAGTCGGTCTCGAAGCGCAACCTTATCCTTGCCCCTCCTTCCGTCGCTGCCCACGAAGAGCAACTGCACGCCGTCTTCTCAACTTACGATCGCTCTTCATCCGACCTCCAGATGCTGGATCGCCTGAGCGCTGGCCTCGTCCCTCTTCCTAACGAAGCCTACGATTTTGTCCTTGTCCTGACAGGCACCAATGGCGGACTCAGGCACGAGGCCCTCCAGCTCCTCACCCGCAAACTCTACAGCACCCTAGTCCCAGCCATGAAGTCTGGGGCCAAGTTCCAGCTGCAGGACGGCCCTGTCACACTCTCGGAGGCCCGCGAGGCTATTTTGGCTGGATTGGTTGAGAAGGACGGTGCATTCGAGAAGATTGAAGAGGAAGAGGTTGTCGTCCCTCTGCGATTCGGTGCCAAGAAGAAGACGAACGGCCTGTCGAATGGAACCGCTCCTGCCGTTCAGCCATTCAAGCCTGTTCAGATCAACTTGGACGATGATTTCGGCAGCGACGACGAGTTGATTGACGAGGATGACCTCCTCACGGCCGATGACTTGAAGCGACCTATCGTGCAGCGTGAGTTCCATAACCAAGTTCCACCACCCTTGTTAGTCATTTACTAATCTATATTATATTGCAGCCCCCGAGTGTCGACCTCAGCCAGGCAAGCGCCGACGAGCATGCAAGGACTGCACCTGCGGCCTCGCTGAGAAACTGAATGCCGAGGACCAGGAGCGACAGGACAAAGCGACAGAGCAGCTGAACGTCATGAAGCTCAACACAGATGATCTCTACGACGAGCTCGACTTCACTGTCAAGGGCAAGACGGGCTCCTGCAACAGCTGCTCCCTCGGCGATGCTTTCCGCTGCGCAACCTGCCCCTACATCGGCCTCCCACCCTTCAAGCCAGGTGAGGAGGTCAAGATTTTGAACGACATGGTACAGCTATAAACAACGTGATTTTCTGGGCGGTTTGGCATTTTCATTTCATCATACCAAAGCTGGCGTACATGGGAAAGGATCATTTTCGAGGAATAGACACTCGAGTCCTTTGGTTGATTGGTCGCACCCTCGTGTGCACTTGACGGTTATTGCATATAGACGGATCTCTGATTCTTGTGCGTTCATGGGTTGGCAATTGTGGTTTCCCGGAGTACAAGGACTGAAAACAAAATAGTATCCAGACTTTAACGGAACAGGATTCCCGAGATACTACAAAACAATACTTTGAATACTCGTCTCTGTTCCCCACCCGTGAATCAGTCTCCTGCAGACCCCTATGATGACATTGATGGATTTCGTGTCCCATGAACAAATGACAGGGTGCCCTGTAAATGCATCCACTAACCATTAACCGGCATCTATCCTGCTGCACGACGAGTGCTCTGCTCCATAACGAGCCTTTACCCTCATTTTGGTGGGGTGGTAGCTGGGATGCGCTGCTTTTAACCAGAGTCCTGATCCCTCAGAGATGACTAAGTGGTTCGGGGGTGAGCACAAGGGCGGCACCGACTCTTGAGTGGATCTGGATGCTGTCTTTCAACCATTCATCGTGATCGGCTTCCCAACTCACCTCAAATTCGGGCCTATGCGCCCATCCTTGGAGCTTCTCATTGACGATGACTTATCTCTCCGTATAATCAGCCCATACCGAAGAACAGCTTCCCCTTCCACATCTTGACAATGGCGCCCCCCAACCAGCTGGGCAAGCGGGTGAAGCTGACCCAAGTCCGCCGACCTTTCATCGTGGGCAGCACCGCGCTGCCCTTCTCAGAAACCAATCCGCGACCAGCCGGCGTGCCTGATAACCACACGCACTCCTGGCAGGTCTTCGTGAAGGGGGTCGAGGATACCGACATCACATACTGGCTGCGGCGTGTACAGTTCAAGCTACACGAGTCCATCCCTAATTATGTACGAAGTCAGTTTAGCTACCTCCATTCCATCTCCCTTACTCCTACACCAGTCATGATAAGCTGACAATCCGGTGCGCTAGTGGTGGACGGCGAGCCCGGCAAGCCGTTCGTCGTCAACGAGACCGGCTGGGGAGAGTTCGACATCGCCATCAAGCTCTACTACGTCAACGACTCGGGCGAGAAGCCCCAGACCCTCTACCACTACCTGCGCCTCCACCCCTACGGCAGAACCGAGGAGGAGAAGCAGGCCATGATAATGGAGAACGGCGAGATCCGCTCCTGGAGCTACGAGGAGCAGCTCTTCAACGAGCCCTTTGACGTCTTCTACCGCATCCTCACCTCGGGCGCCGTGCCCAGGGGCTGGAAGGGCGCCGCGCCCCCAGCATCGGGCGGTAAGGGCAAAGGGGGCGGCAAGGGCAAGAACAAGGCGCCGCCGCCGCTGCCGGCCCCGGACAGCGGCGACGTGTGGGAGCGGACGGCCATGATCCCCAACTCGAACCGCCCAGGACAGCCGTTCAGCCGGGAGACGGAGGCGGCCGAGGTGAAGAAGCTCAGGGACGCGCAGACGACGACGGAGGAGTGGTCGCAGAGGATCCTGCAGGAGCTCAAGGGTAAAGAGGACCTGCTGGCCAAGCTGAAGGCCGAGAACGCCGCCGCCGCCGCCGCGCCCAAGCCCTCCTAGGAGGAGGACGGGGGAACGATTGCGGTACGAGCGAGGGTCAGGCGGACGCCGGCGCCTGTGAGGAACCGTCACCTCGAAGACGATTATTAAGTGCTGAGCTCGGTCCACAGCCGATGGGTGTCTACGGGGCCAAGGGGCGTGTCGTTCCGGCTGAAATTGGGCTCGCTTCGAGATGGTCGGTTGCATTTATGTGATGCCACCGGACGCTTGGCTAGACCCATCCGGGGATTTCATGACCGAGGACTTCAGGGACAGACGATACGGTGGGACGGCCTAGGAATCCCGGGTCTTGACGAACTGTCCACGACACCGAATGACCGTGTCTGGATAGTCAACTATTAGTGATAAGAGCAAGAGAAGTTACTCATGCTCTGAACAAGCCGTTTATTATCAACAACGGATCCGCCTATCTATGAAATGATAGAGAAGTAGGAGATACCAAATACCACGACATATGTTTTTTCACAGACTAGACGGTGTTCAAAACGTGTATGTAATAGATGGGAGTGTATTTCATGAAAAATATGCAAAAAAATTGCGCTATTCGCTCAATCTGATGATGAAAAAACCCACACATCAATATCTTTGTGATTCTCTGAAACCACTTCCGATTCCCAATCCCGGCCATCAAAACCTCGCAATCCCGCCATGATTTTACTTTTAGAAACAGTTTCCCGCCCAGGACCGGTGTAAAATAAAATATCAAAAACAAATCTGTCGCTCCCGGTTCGACGTCATGATGGATTCGTGCAGCAGACATAAATGGTCGTTAAATAAGACAAAAGGGAAAAGGATCCAACCATTTCATCTCTGCTGATCCGTCCATCGTCGTCGATAAAAGAAACCGTAAAATCATGCCAACACCCCTGAACCCTCTTTTTTTAATTTCTGAAGACTCTCTCTCAACAAGAGAGAGGACAAACGCCCCGTAAATCACCCCAGACCGGTAAAAATTAGCAAGTAAGAGCACGCCATCTAGGCCGTTTTCTATAAAAACAAGCGCCAGCGCACATGAGTAGAGACTGATGACAAAAAAGGAAATATTAGCTAGTGATAGGACGCATACTATATCGCTTGAAATATGCAATGTGGCTGAAGCAATTAATGAATGGCAGCTTCATAGGTGGGAGGTGCCTCTTGCTCCTCCCACACACCGCCTGAAGGGTTGTTGTTGCTGTTGTTGTTCTGACGATTCTTTTCGTCATAGACACGACGAGCAATTTCGCCGGCCATCTTCATGATCCAGGCTTGCTCAAGAATGACTGATGATGAGTCTGAGCTCGATTCATGCTTGGCTTGGGGTCGTTTGGGTAGACCTGTATCAACTGAAAGCTTCTTGCTGGCATCTTCCAAGGCTTTAGCAATGGACGACGTATGTTCACTCGGTCCGGGAACAAGGGGGGGCTGAGACAGTGGGCTCTGGTTGGTAGGGGCAGCCGACTTCTTCTCTTCGTTGGTGAAGTGAAGCTTGCTCGCCAGGCTCTCGACAAGGTCATCCTCATCCTCCATTTCGGGAATTGAACTAGTCATCAACGGTTCAGAAAAAGGACCCTCCGAGATGGTATCGGATCCGGTCTCGCTCTCAGTCTCGGTCTCTATCGGCGAATCGACTTGTGACTTGCTTCGTCTCAAATTGACAACTCTAGTCTTCTTCTTTCGGCCCGGGCGAGACCTACTTGAAGTCCCCACTGCCCGACCTGGCGACGTCGAGTTCAAATTAATCTGTGATGCGGACCTGGATGGCAAATAACCTTGCGTAGCGCTGCTTGTATCCGAAAAGGTATAGGTCGTACTCGTGCCAGTGGGAAGAGAATGGGTTCTTGACAAGCTAGGAGGTGCCATTGCCGGCGTCATAGCTTCTGACCTGTCTCCATGACCTGTCCAGGCTCTGAAAACAACATCACGGATGCCTGGGGTGAACAACGACAGGGTGCGGTGTGAGTCGGTGAGCGCCGCAAGTCGAAGCAAGTTCTTTTGTGAGAAAAGAGACTGCGCATCACCGGCACCCTGAAGGGTAAGCTCAGATAGAGCATTGGCGTCCAAAAGATTCCCATTGGCATCAACCGGATCGTCGGGAGGGCTGATGAATGGATCCACACCTTTTTCATCAACCTCATCAGCGGGATACTCACCAGGCTTATTGGCCTGGTCAGGACACCACAACTGGAGTGACAGCCGATGGATAATGGCAGGCAGCTCGTTCATCATCAAGTCGCGTAGCTTCTGTTCAATTGTCCGTTGCAGGTAGTCGCGAACGAACTGGATGGAGTCAAAGGTCGAAGAGACCTTGAGAGACTCGAGGGGATCATTGCGGAAGACAAGCGTTAAGCCCTTCTGTTTTGAAAACACCAAAATGATAAATGCCGACAGCTTGATTTCAGACAAGGTAATTGATATGGGAATGGTGAGTGATGAAGCAGCCGCAAGAGGCTTTGGAGATGTGAAGCTAGGCTTAGAGTGGAGATAGGTGTTGAGAGGATTGGCCTACGTCGAAGGTCAGTATTAGACGGTTACATTCGGCGATTTGGTATGGGTATAGCGGCGAGAACATGTGTCTGGGAACGGGACGAACGTGACCAGGGACGACTTCCTCCGATCATCCACCATGATCTCATTCTGGGGGTGAGGGGCAATTAGGCCAGTAAGAGGTCAGGAGGAGTGTATATGGCATGATTCTATGGTTCACAGCCAGATAGACTTTGAGCCTGCAGGTGAACGGGCAAACAGCCTCGGTCAGGGGGGCAACGGCATGGGACGCATGCAAAGATGCCCGAAAGAACCAACCAGTGCATCCAAACAAAGGCATGCTGGGCTCGAAATACCCGAAACAGGACGATTCCAGGGCCATGAGGCGATGGACATAGTATGGGGGTGGATGTCATTGCGAAATAGAGCGGTACGGTGAGTCGGGCATTACCGGGATCCGGTCGCAAATAGCTCCTCGGTAGCTCCAGCGCAAAGGGCGACCGGGTGGGTAAGGCGGATTGATGGAAGGGGGAAGAGAGAATGGATGGCAAAAACGAGAGCGATTGAAAGAGAAGAGGCATACCTGAACTCGGGTTTTGAGCGTGAGATACGCGTCGCCTGAGTAGGTCATCTTGAAGATGCCACGGAATCTGTCCTCGGCCAGATCGCCAATTTCCAGGATCTCCAAGTCCGGGGGCACATTGCCCAGGTTGAGCTCGTCGACGAGGATATCATCGACAATGATGGGCGGCTTGGGAGATTTATTCAGAGCTTTCGTCAGGAGGTCGCGCGCTCGAGAATAGAAATCAGCGTCGGCCGTCAGAGGCGACCAGTTGAAGTTGAAGGCCATGTTAAATGGCTATTAAAGTCTCGCGACCATTGAGATC